AGAAGTCTTTACTGATGCGGATTGGGCTGGTTCAATAGAAGATAGAAGATCAACAACGGGCTACTGTACTTTCGTATGGGGAAATTTGGTTACTTGGAGAAGTAAGAAGCAAAATGTGGTAGCCAGAAGTAGTGCTGAAGCTGAGTTTAGAGCTGTAGCACATGGAATATGCGAGGGACTGTGGATAAAAAAACTATTGGAAGAATTACAAGCAATGGTAAATCTTCGAATCAAACTCTATTGCGACAACAAAGCAGCTATCAACATCTCCCTCAATCCAGTTCAACATGATCGAACCAAACATGTGGAAGTGGACAGACATTTTATTAAAGAAAAGGTCGAAGATGGGACTATATGCATGACCTATGTGCCTACAAAAGAACAAACGGCAGATATCTTCACTAAAGGCTTATTACGACGAGATTTTGAGGATTTCATTTGCAAGTTGGATATGGTCAACATTTACGATCCAACTTGAGGGGGAGTGTAGAAATCCCGAGATTAAGGGATTGATTTGTATTGATTGTATAACCTAATTTAGATTAGGCAATTTTTCCTTTTTTCCTTGTGTAGAAAGTTTCCTTGTTAGTTCCCTCTCCTGCACTATATATTGGTGCTCTATTCATTGTAATGAGTTAAGTGAAATAATAAAAACATTATTATTCACGTTCCAATTCACAGTAAATACAAAGTATAGTAGTGAGGAGTAGTGAGGATGATGATCTTCTATCTGATCCTACCGTCTTTCGTCAACTAGTGGGAAGTTTAAATTATTTGACTATTACAAGGCCAGATATTTCTTTCGCAGTCCAGCAGGTTAGCCAGTTCATGCACACTCCACGTCATCTCCATCTAGCTGCCGTTCGTCATTTCATTCGCTATCTTCGAGGCACATCTAGTCGTGGATTGTTTTTTCCTGCCAATTCTTCTCTTTGTCTCACTGCTTGTAGTGATGCAGATTGGGCTGGTTGTCTTGACACCCGACGATCTATTACGGGGCGGTGCATGTTTCTTGGTACTTCTCCGACTCTTGGAAAAGTAAGAAACAAGATCGTGTCTCTAAATCATCAACTGAATCTGAATATCGGGCAATGTCTGCTGCTTGTTCTGAGATTATCTGGCATCGTGGTCTTCCGGCTGAACTTGGTTTTCCTCAATCTGGTCCTACTCCACTCCATGCTGATAACACGAGTGCCATTCAGATTGCTGTTAATCCTGTTTTCCATGAGCGTACTAAGCATATTGAAGTGAACTGTTATTCTATTCGAGAAGTCTTGGATACTCGTGTCATTACTCTTCCTCATGTTTCCACCGCTCTTTAGATAGCTGACATATTCACAAAAGCAATGACTCGACATTGTCATCAATTTCTTGTGAGCAAATTATTGCTTCTTGATCGACCAATCGACCAACATCAATTTGAGGGGGATTTTAGTACGAGAAATATTACTGTCTAATTATAGGATGATATATGTAATTAATCTGTAATTAGTATACATTTTCCTTTCTTAGTCGACATGATTACTGTAGTTGGAGTGATTAGTGTAATTGATGTAATGGTAAGCGAGACCATTGTAATGACTGATTTTCAGCCTTGTAATCAGACATTCTCACACTATTTAATCGAAGGAACTCTCACTTGGAGAGGCATTCAAAACAAAAATCAATTGTCTTGACAATATGAAGGTCGTGCATTAGGGACCAGAGCTCATATTTGGAGTTTCTCAGTTGATCTTCAGAAGGGTTCCAAATATTCTCCTGTATAATTAAGAGGACAAATCCAATTCAGCTATGCATTGTCCTCATTCTCTTCAAGAACCCTGTTGGATCTTTACAGGAGAAAGTAAGAATGCATCAAAGTAGAACGACCACCCCCACTTCCCTGTGACCGAGCTCCTCACCAGTAACTGTCATGTAGATTTTCCAATTGATTTTAGGTTTTATGATGACCAGAGTTCATACGCCGACTTTGATGTCAGAAATCCTTTTTCCTTGCTTTAACTAAAATGATATTCTATTTATTGTATATTAGTTGTAAAACATTTATATCGTAGTGATGACCAGAGTTCGTATGCCGATTTTGATGTCAGAAATCCCTTTTCCTTGCTATAATCATTGTCCAAATGTTTAAATACTGGAAAAATACCTAAAACAACGACCAGCAATGAATTATTCATATTGTTGATAATTTTATGGAAATTTTCTGTATATTTCGGATTGGAAAAAGTATACAAAATATATAGACATAAGATTACATAATCCTAGGTTTGTTACAACCACTCATCTTATTTTAAAAGTAGGACAACGATTACAAAAAAGGATAAAATAGCTTGTCCCAAATATCTACGACTGACAACTTATCTCTTAAATTACAAGATTCCTAAATGACATAGTTCTATTCCCTATATATGTTATGGTGGTTACTGCTTTAAGTAACCATGGTATCTTATTTTACATAGTTTGAAAATGCTCAAATACATTTGTATTGGCATATACCTCTCACTGGATGTAATAAGTGTCTCACATTGGAATGTGTGCCCTGGAGAGCTTCACTTAACATTTAAGCCTCAAGGTCCTTCTTCATTTCCTTATCCCTGCCTGAGCCCTTTGTCTTTTTAGCTCTTGAAGCTGAAAGGAATCTGTGGACCCAGTTGACGAAGAATATGAATATAAGCCAAGTTTTTAGTTAGCTAGCGTCCTTTACTATGTATATGTGGTTCTATTACAAGTGCTTTTCACCTGCAAGATATCCACCACCCCCTTGAGGAAATAAGTTGTGTATAGGACTTGAAATGGTCTACTGATACGATAAATTAATCTCATCACTAAGAAAATTTTTCACCAAGCTTACATATTTTTGTCCTTTTTTGTTGCAGGGATCCACTTATCAATTGTTGTCCTGTCTGTGGTGAAATTATTGAAGTTTCGGATGGGTTGAATACCATGATACATTTGACCCTTTGTTTTGATGAAGGAACTGGAAACCAGGTTATGACAGGAGGATTCTTGACTGATAAGCAGGCTTCAAATGGGTGAGAACTGTGCTGTCCTTGAAATAATAACTAGTTACCTTACATAGAACTAGGACAATTAAGATACGTAGAAAGAACTTAATTGGGGAAAAATAAAGAGAAGTGAAGAAGACGAGAGTTGTTGTCAGAGTAAATATGAGATCCAAGAAAAGGCAATAGGATACCAACTCCCATAATTCTGCCCCATTCTTATTAACTGGTAAACATGAATTTGAAGAATATGCTTCCTCCTTATAAACTAATCTACATAATTATAATTATATGCGCAGACATATTGTTATTTCCAATGTTAAAAAATAAAATAAAATAAAATAAAATATCCAGCCTCTTGGATTAATCGTTTTCTAATTTTCATTTTGTTATTCTAAGATCAAATACCTCAACAGGTGGATGTTTAAAGTAAGTGAATGGGCTCAATTTTCATCCTATGAAGTTGGTTTGAGATCTGGATCAGGTGCTTCGCATATTTTGGTATGCTCTCTTTGCTTCAGTGTCTTCTATTCCTGGTTATGTATATGTTTGAACAGAGGGAATCCTCTGTAGTGTTTGTGACCTCTGTTATTGAAATTTTTTCTCGTTTCTTTACTTCTATTCTTGAGGTTTCTGAGTTCTTTCATTACCCTTTGATGCTGCACACTCTTTTGACATGTAGGTTTTTGATCGGAGAACAAAGAGATTAGTGGAGGAAATAATTGATGCCAAGATTATTCTATCAATGAGAGCCATATACCAATCTAAACTAGGGCTTGGTCTCATGGATAAAGGTATGGCTTTAAACCTACCAATGCATCATAAGCCAATCTAAGGGAAATATTGGGTTGTATGTGAATTCTGTCATCGCTCTCTTTCATATATCAGTTTCTGGTTAGGTTTCAATGTGATGCTTCCATCAATTATGGGAACTTCAGTCAATAAAGATATGAAATGCTGATTATTTTTCTTCCATGCCTACTTTGTTAATACTGCTTATATATATCCTTGATTGTCCGCAATCCAATTTGGATGCAGGGGCAAAGGAACTGTTGCAGAATATCTCAGAAAAGCAGGGCAGGAAAATGGATTCAGTCAAATCTGCTAAAGACATACCGAAATTTGTTGATATGTTTAAGGCATGATGAACTCGTGACATAAATGCAATTATCTTATTAATCCATCATGTTTTTAGTTTATCAATTTTTTGGCCCTTGGAGTTCGAGTTCTTCTACAACATGGTTTATGCATATAACATGTATGTTTTGCTTATTTTATGTACATTGAAGTCCACTATGATGCAAACAAAGGTAACTGGCCTAATTTTGTTTGCTGTAGTACACTTTCTCTGCTTACTGTAGTCTTGAGGTTATGAAACAAGCTTTCTTGTCATATTTTGGTTTTTCCATTTACATGCATCACTGTAGTCGAGAGAGTCTGGGAACTACTTGGTGGTGTGATTAGTTAGAGTGCTATAAACAGATAATTTTTGTTTGTTCACAGTTTGTTGTTATTTATTTTACCTTGTCCTCATTAAGTGCTGGTACCACTGCTCTTTGTCTCTATATTGTTTGTCCCATATGACTAGTAATAAGATAAGGGACTATGGCTTAACATTGAAAGTTGTCGGTGATGTCAGTTTAACATTGAAAGTTGTCTATTACTGGTGATGTCAATATTGGATATCGCGAAACTTTTTGGCTTTCATTTAAAAAAAAAAATTCACAATTCAGACAGACCTAGATACAGCTTATTAGAAAAGATATTGGGCCTAACTCAACCTAACAAAACCGACTTGTTAGGGGAGGATTGCTCTCACCTTATTAAGTGGATTGTATTAATATCATCAGCCAATGTGAGATTCTAATACGCCCCCTCACGCACAGCGTGAACCATGCCTAACAACTGTGAACAAATCGATATTGGGTGCACCCAACATTGCAAAACTGGGTTGCTCTGATACCATATTAGAAAGGATATTGGACCTAACTCAACCGGCTTGATAGGGGAGGATTGCTCTCACCTTATTAAGTGGATCGTATTAATATCACCAGTCAATATGAGATTCTAATACAGCTAAACCATTTAATTAGTACATTTAGTAATGCAATGACACGAGCCATGGGCATAAAGTCATAGTTGAATTTCAAGTTAAATTATGATTGAAATAGTGAGGGAAGCGTAATGGTGTCTAATTCCAGAACTTGCATTCTCAGATGACCAGATTACTCGTCTTGTCTTCAACCATTCTTAAAAATTTGAACACAATGTTGAGATATAACAGATTTGATGGATCAATTATGGTAGATTTAGTGCGAATATAGTAGATTTAGTGATTCTAGTTAATCTGCTGTTTTTGGTAAACTGGATTTGCTATAATACCAATTATTCTTCCCTTCTGTTAATATATAATATAGATACGACAACAATAGATTTCTTAGAGTAATTTGTAGGTGATTTGGGGTAGTTTCCTTTTTAAGTTCTCTCCAGAATCGTAGATAAATAAGTAATCCTTTCAGTGAATAAATACACATAAGAACAATTTCTTCTACAATTCTCTTTGTGTTCTCACAATTATGTCATCACAGGGAAAGAAAAAATGTTGTGGACTGGGAAGTCGTACAGGTAAAAAAGATTTCTATAATGGATCTCTACTATAATAGCAATTTCTTCAGTTATCTTTAATGAATAAACAAGTAAAGAAAGATATTCTATGCACGTCACAAGTTTGCTGGTGTGTGTATGCATGTATTCATTTGCTGGACCTGCTGTCTTCTAATGTATGTTGGTACTCATACTGTGAGAAAAGCAAATTTATTCATGATTTTTCTGTTGTGTAGCCCAATCCATATCCTGCAGAAAACAAGGAACTGTTGGCTTGAAAAACCTGTAGTTTCTGATAAGAGTGAGCAATGAAGATTGTCTCAAAATTAATCATTTGGCTAAAGTAGTTAAATGTTTAAACTTTTCTAGTACTCTTTTTCAGTTAGCAAGACTGGTGTATGGATAGGCTAATGTTAAAACCTTCATCTGTCCTACTCCATGAGAATTTTGCAAAAGGTCTTCATCCAGAGCTAACTCTGAACTTAAGATAGATATTCAATAATGCCTATAGGATTGTGATTTAAGGAATTCTGATGCATGTGCTTATGGTTTCAGACAATCACAGGACTTTCATTTTCTTATTTTAGCCTCTAGGTATTAATAATAAATTATAAAATGGATAGAAGGATTGATCATCTGGAAACTCGTGTTAAAATTAGCTGATCCAGACAAGGGAAAAAAACTCGTACAGTTGAATTAACTTAAACCGAAGAAATTGAATTCACTAAAGAGACAGTCCGATTGATTTTTCTTTTGAGGTGTCACAAAAAATATTCACTCGGTAGAATTGCAGTCACATTGGCTTCTGTCCTTCAGTTCATATAGATTGTACACGAATATATGTGTATAGTATTATCTTCCGTTTCCGGTCTGATCTTGGGATAATTGTTTTATATTGATCTATATGCATTATAGTATGCTTAAATTTGTTTCTCAGAATTCCTTTTCTACATGCTATGTAAGTAGATTTCCTGGAAAGTAGCTTTTCTTCTTCCTCTCTCTCTCTCTCTTTTCCCCTCTCCTAATCTGATGCCTTAATCATGTTGCAGGATCAAATCAATTTATCTGAAGTCAAATACCCTTTAAAGCATTTTAAGGTAGGTCAAGAGTTTGAGACAAATCGATATTCACTTGAATGGTTGACGTAATGAAGTATTGCACGAATATTCACTTCTTCAACCACACTGCATGAAACTGATTACAACTGATATCCTTGTGTAGTTTCGCTTAAATAACTGGATATCTTGTTTTAAATGTTGTATTGTAGTCATTGATGCTAGTAACTTGACCAATCACTGATGATCATACATAAGAAATTTACCTTCTCGGAATTAACTCTTAAGGTTATTCCATTTAAGGGTTGAAACCACCAATAATGAGTTTAGCTCTCATGTCGAGACAAGAAAAAAATATTATATAATTTTATCTAAGTTATTAGGATATCAATTATATTCAGTTGCTGTACTCTCTGCGAGAAAGAAGCAGGTACGAACTTGGAAAAAAGATTCAGTTGAATTTACTCATTTAGAAAATGGAAAAAGAGTATTGTGCCCATCCACTTCTAGTTTAACCTTTCTGTTAGTTTTCTTGAAAATTAATATAAAGCAAAAGGCAAAGATAGCTATTTTTTTCCAATTATGTGACATAATAAGTCTGCTCATTTTTATCTACTGATCGAACTGCATAGCTGTTCCAGCTTAATTTAAAAATCAGCATGTGATTTATATGAACTTGGTATCTGGTGATTTCTGTGCTTTAGAATTTTCATGCTTTATGAGTCCTTTTAGTTGATGGTTAATGACATCTCTTTGTACTAAAAATGCTGTTTAAGAAAGTATCAAAAGAATAGAAGGTTAAACAAAAAATTAATCTATCAGGACTCAACAGCAGTAGTAGGAAAGGTGTTTTTACTGCTTCTATTATCACATTTTGCTTTTCCTCTTGTTGGAGATTTTATGGGAAGTGTGGTTATTTTCTTTCTTCAGGATGATTATTTAGTTTATTATTATTGAGTTCCTAAGATGATGCAGTTCTGGTATACAGCTCAGATGCCAAACTGGAAGCTATGAAAAGAAAGAAAATGAAAGCAACCAAATTTTAACGGGTGCTCATAATTCCCTTGTATATCCTAGAGGGCGAAAATTCTCCACCATTGTCAACATTCCAGATAAAATAAGCTCACTCTTTTTGATGTGGAGCTTCAACCTTGACACGATAAGAAACCAACCTTTCCTTAGTAACAAAGTTTAGTTATTTATCTCGTACCATAAGTAAAAGACCCTGTAAAATTAGTAAGGTTTGGTTTATAACCTTTGTTGAGTTAATCTCTTCATGGGAGGAGAAGAGGAAGCATTAGTCGTGTGACAACTCTCTCTGGTTACTTCAGTATATACTGGTGAAACAAATTCGAGTCTTCCGTTGTCTGGAGAAGCCCTTTTTTCCTCTGTCATGTTTGAGTTTTATTGTCATACTTCGAACACCATTTGTATACCTTCTGTCTATGTGGATTGCATCCCCTCACTTTGATGCTAGTTATGATTACAAAAATTTACTCACAGAGGAGGTTGATATCAGTTTCATCTTTATGTGTATTTTACTTTTAACTGTATTCTGTAGTTTTTAGCTTGTACATTTCCTGTATGCAGACATTTAATGAATTTTTCATAAGAGAGTTAAAACCTGGTGCAAGACCAATTGCCTGCATGGAACGTGATGATGTTGCTGTATGTGCTGCCGATTGCCGGCTGATGGCCTTTAAAACTGCTACAGATAGTCTAAGATTTTGGATCAAGGTATAAGCAACTTCTCCGTTAAAATGATCTCGAAGAGAAGCACAACTTTCCACTTTTGTGAACTTGTAGCTATTATTTTTGGTAACGGATGTGTGAAAAGTTAGATTGCTTGCAATAGCTTTGGCTTCAAATCATCGTCTGTTTCTTTCTTGTGATGTCTATAACTTCTAAAGAAGTAATGTTGGGATGGGGACTGGGATAACGGGGTATAACAACTTGAACAGCAGATATACCATACAAGATTCGTGGCTTGTTTCAGTAAATGCCCTGTAACAAACCTGTTGTCTTCGTGTTTCTATTTCTAAATTGCTTCTTATCTTTATTTCCCCGTTTTGGTAGTCCTTTTCAATCTTGGACCTTCCTCTGAAAAAAAATATGCTTTTGTTGATAGTGAAAACACCTGTTTTTGACTTAATCTGGGGTTTGTTGGAATTTAGCTTACCCCGTTTAGTTTTCTAACACTAATAATGGTTAATTGTATTTATAAATCTATTCTGTTAATAAATATATTAGTTGATACTCCCTTTCTATTTAATATTCTACATAGCTAGTTAAGAACTGTTCAATAATACTATTGTTTCAGCAGATATCGCAGGTGTCCCTGGCAGCCTGCTCCATCAAAGTAAACATGACTGTCACTTGTTTGCCTGGGAAATGAATTCCTGTTTGACTTACGAGCTCATGTTGTTATTTTGTTTTGTTGCTGACTCAGTTTTATTTTACAATCATAATTCCTGTTTGTGTGAGTTCTTCAGCATATGCTTTGGAAGATTCATTACATGTTTCAAAATCATTTCAACCAGTAAATTTCTAAAGTTTAGGATTTAGGTACTTACCATTCTACTTTGTTTTGTCATATTTTAATACGATTCATTTGAAAACCTGAAAGGAGTCGAGGGAGTAACATTCATCATCATTCTGTTTATTAACCTTTTTTTTTTTTTTTTTTT